AAAAACGTAGGCAGTAAATAATTTTCGTGAAAAACACACCGCAAGAAACCTAAAAGAACTAATTTTGAAAAGTCTAGAAAGGTATGTGTCAATAATTACTTGATATTAAAGATAGCAAAGCGTTTTTTGTAGCATTAGCGTTTTCTAATTTTAAAATTAATGTACATACATACATACTTAATTACTTATCTAACTTTTGTTGAAAATTCAACATTCAAAGTTTATTTACTTATTACTTTAACTTAATAAATTTCAATAGATATGATATCACAATTAGTCAAGTGTACAGTATCACAAGTGATAACGGCAGCAACATGGTCAGCTGCGGAAACCTCCTGCAACACGAAAGTAAGGAAGTAGAAATGCCTTTACTAAATCCATCAGAAGATGTCGACGATGCCTTTTTTGAAAGTTTCGAAACCATTTTTGAAGATCTAGAATTCGACACTTGTGTTTCGCAAAATTTTCGTAAGCAATTAAATAATAATAATAGTAGCAATAAAACTAGTTTACAGTACTATAAAAAAAGAAGAAAAATGAAATAATATTAACTTAAAAAATAATAGAAAAAAAAACAAAACAAACAAATTAAATTAAAAAAATAAAATATCAATCCTAATAAAAATAACAAAATAAAAAAATATTAAAACCAAATATAGATAATTAAGAAAAAATAATAATTGTAATAAAATATATAATAATAATATAAAAAAAACAAAGTACAATTAATTTAAAAAAAAGTAAAATAAAATAATAGTAAAAATACAATAAAATAAAAAAAATAATTAAGTAAAATCAAATAAAACAAAACAAAACACAACAAAATAAAATAAAATAAAATAAAATGAAATATATATGTATATAAATCAAATAATTTTCTTAAACTGTAGGCTAGTCTTATAACAGCTATATTAATAATAGTATTGTGTACATTACATAATTTTATTTTTAGAGTCAATTGTAGTTATACGATGTGCCACGCATACCATACAGCTAAGCGTAAACGACGTTTTTAAAAATGAAGAAATTAAAAACTGTTTTAGAGAATGCCGCAATATAGTGCGAAAGCTGCGTACGCCAGCAATACACAGACTCATATCGTCGCAAAATTTATTGCCTCCCACAGCTGATTGTCCAACTCGTTGGTCTTACTCGTATGAGTTACTTAAACGGTTGAGAAACTTAGACACATTCATCTCAGAAAATATGAAAGAAGCCAATATTGACTGGTCATTTGTAGATGAATTTTTAAGCAGCTTCAGCATAATTAAAAAGACAACCGTAAAATTGCAAGAAAAAAATTTGCTATTTGGAGACTTCATTAAAACCTATTTGGAAATGATTCTTGTTGTAAAGAAAGAAGCGGACAAATATCACATTTCCAAACTTTTGTTGCAGTCTTTAAACCAGAGGAAAGATAACTTGCTCCAAAACCCAACCGTGGCGGCAGCAATCTATCTTGATCCGCGACTGAGACGGTTACTCCACAGTCCAGAATTCGCACCTTTAAAATCAGTTGCAGTAGCGCATTTGAAGGCTCTCTACTTAAAAATTCATGGAAATGACAACAATGTATGTACATATATATGTTTGATCTCTATGATTTGAAATATAAAGATACAATTGCAAGTATTCTGACATCTTTTTGAAGACGCAAGAGCCTGCTGCTAATTCAAGTAGTGAAGTACATGAAGACAGTGACAATTTGCTTGGCACACTACTAAACCAAATCTCCCAATACGAACCAAGAAGCGAAAATACCACAGAGGCATTTTCAATCATAGAAGCATTCAATGAAAATTGCGATTTGAAGGCCAATTTAGCAGACTATTGGGAGTCAAAAAAATTTACTCACAGTACCTTGTACCAGCTATACAAAATTATTCATGCAACTCCCGCTACGCAAGTTAGTGTAGAGCGGGCGTTCTCCACTTTAAAATATATAATTAATGACTATAGGTCAGGTTTGAGTGATGATATCACTGAAGCGATATTAATGTTACGGCTCAATTAGTTTTCGCATAATTTCTTAACAGCGTTTTGTTTACTATTTGTTAATTATTTAATAAAAATAAATCCCATAATGCTACGTACTCCTACATAAATTTTGCTTACAATTTTCTTCTTAAATAATGAAACAAAAAAACTATTGATATTTCCTTTTTGATAATCAACGAAACGAAATTTTTTTCGTTAACATTTTTTGATAACTAACGAAACTATTTTTATTTTCATATTTTGTTTATTCATAATAAGCAAATGAAATTTTTTGATAAGTTGTTTTTTTAATAAATAACGAAACGAAATTTTTTTGTTTATATAGTTATGCAGCCCTGCTTAGAATTAAGGAAAAAGTTTATTTGATTGAACCTATTTTATTTATTTATTAGATTCTCATACTTACCAATATGTGTTCAAGTTGCAATAGCGGTACTCACTTTCCGTAGCATTTTAGGTGTAAAGTTGCTACGTAGCAATCTAGCACGTATTTTGTTGTTGGAAGAGCAACAAAACATGTGGTAGATTGCTACGTAGCAACTTTACACCTAAAATGCCACTCAAGGTGAGCTCCCCTAATATGTAATTAGATATAGGAAGAAGAAATGTAAACAAAACGCAAGGGGTTGCCGGTAGTTGGACGTGTGGCTGCTCAAAAATACCTCAATATTGTTAATAGCAGCACTTGTTACAACTGCTGAATACCGAGTGCAAATCGGCTCAGCCATTATTTTACTTTCACTTCGTTTTTATATCTATACCCGAAAGCTACGAGCAATTTGAATTTGTGCGCGAAAACCTGAAAATTGCATTAGTAAACTTTTAAAGCAAAGGAAAACCCAAGAAAACATAGAGAACTAAACGTGAATTGTAATTGATGAACGAAAAATTAAACTTAATTAACCGTTTGGCGTTTATTTAATTACCAACGTTAGTTTATTCATTTTCTGATAATAAGAGTAAAAATTCTTGAAGGTTCTGTATGCATTTGTCGCAGAAAACCAATTCAAAACATGAACTACTTTTCTTAATATTTTAGTGCTTTCGAAATTTGCAACCATTTGATACAAACGATGGATGCGGATTAAAGAAAAAAAGGGACGTTCATCTATTTTGCGCAGCAAGCTAACCAGATCAGCATCCAGGTCATCTGAGCCAACGCCAAGGAGTCCGTACAATATCACCCGTTGTCAGTCAGTTAAATCACTCTTTACAAAAAGAATTTCAGATAATTGCAGCTGGAATAGATTACAACACAACAAAACGGTCGGAACAGAACAAAAGATGTAGTCC